GCCAGCACAAGATAAACTATTTTTCTCTGCACAAGTCAAAACGCAGTAAACAAGACAATTATTTTTAATAATTAAAAAAAACCCCAAAGCAACACTGAACCCAAACATCTTAAAATATATTGCATTCTGTTTACCTATCTCAGGAGGTGAGGCATGATCAAATATTTTCGTAGCTATATCCTACCACATTCAGAAGGGGACATCGAAACGAAGATGTCTTCATTAAGACATAGCTACACAACAGCACATGTCACACATCTGCAGCAGTGACTTGCTTCAACCTGCAACACAAGAAATTAGGAAAGATGAACTATTAATAATTCTTGGAGATTTCTGCAGTGAAGATTTAGCCCCATCTCCAACAGGAAAAAAAAATAAGCAAAGTTTTCCTCCCCATTGAACTGTTTACGTATATCCACGGAAGGCGGGGTTATTTTGTATCGTTTTAGAGCCAGTAGCCAAAGTTCCGTACTTTGATCTGGAATCACGGCAGTCTTTCACCCTGTGCGTGGTGGTCATGAGAGCCAACTCGCGCCGCCAGCTGCTGGATGCTCCCGCTCGTGACGCCGGGAGCGGCGCGGTGCCGCCTGCCAGCACACACCGGGGCCAGCACCGCGCTCGCCCGGGGCCGCCGGGGCGCGGGGCGGCGGCAGGGAAGCGCCTGGAGGCTTCTCGCGGGCTGCGGCCGCTGTGGGAGCGCCGGTCCCGTGAGGGGACCCCGCCCGCCCCAGCGCTCGCCGCCGCCCCGCGTTCCCTCGGCGGGGCTCGGCTCCCCGGGCCCGCCGCTCTGAGGTGCGGAAGGAGCGGCGGACGCGGCCCGGCGGCGGAGAAGGGGCGGCGGCCGGCCCGCTCCGCGCTCCGCGGCTGCTCGGCGGCGCCGCCCGGCCTGCTCCAACCGCCCCGGCCCGCACCTGCCCCGCGGCACCGCCGCCCGGCCCGCCCCGCTCCCGTGTCCCGCCGCCCGGCCCCGCCGCCCGAGCGCGGCCCCGGCCACTTTTCCGTCCGCCCCGCGGGGCCCCGCGGCGGCGGCGCCCAGCTCCGCCGAGACCCGGCGGGACTCACCGGTGGCAGAGAAGCGCTCCGCTCCTCTCCTCCCCGCGGCCCGCCCACCGCAGGCGCTCGCCGGCCACGGCCGGGGCGTGAGCAGCGTGAGCAGCCCCGGGCGCGGTGACAGGGCCCGGCCGCCGCTGCCGCGCAGGCGCCGGCTCGGCGGGGGGGGCCCC